TTCAATTTAATAATACCAAAATTTCAGATTTCAAATACTATGAGTTTGAAATTTATGTTTTTTCGAAACCGATAATCCTATTTTGTAAATAGATACAATCTTATATTTTGGAAACCGCTAATATTATGTTTTTCAATTTGACATGTATTTCATAAATTACACTTTTTCAAAATTTTGACTTATTTTGTTTAAATTTCGTGATTTCGAATTTGAAATCTTCTGTTGGAGTAATTTGTAACTACTAATATTTTTTTATACTTTTAAACATATTTTTCGAGTAAATTTTTAACGCATTCTATAGATTAAATTATATTTATATGTTAAATTTAAATATCCTTAGACATGTTTTGGTTACAAAATAGTTTAGAAAAATTTTAAGTGAATTCAAATTTTTTTAAGAATAATATGTAATATTTTACATAATCTTATATATGTTATATAATATTTTAGGTGTTTTTAATATTTTAAACATGCATGTTTTATGTTATCTTAGACAAGATCTCATGTTAGCTCCATTTAATTATTTATAATTATTATTCAATATTGTTTACTCACTCATTAATTTATAATTATTATTTTATATAATTTACCCGTGCATCGCACGGGCTACGCACTAGTGGTGTGTAAAAGGGCTTCGACCTAGTTCAAAACACATGGATCTGCTTTTTGACCGGTTCAAAGACCTAAACTGCAAAACAAGCGTCGAGGGGTTTCCACTTTCCAGCGTAGAAAATCCGATGCCTCAAGTTAGTAAACAGTGGTGAAGAAAACAATGAACAATAGCAATATAAGCTTGTGAGTATTTAGAATGTGTAAGTGTAAATGGACGTAATTCACCCCTTTGTATAGGGGCGTTACCTTGTTGTCCATGATTTCCCGGATGGGTTGTGCAACTGCCCGAACTACCCATTTGAATTGCCCAGGTGCACCAACTGCACGATTCTTTTCGGAGGCGTGGTCCAATCCACGTGATTCTAATTCCCATTATATTCCTTCTTATCCATTAGTCTTCATAGTTAGACGGTCTAATCATATGACTGACCCAACTTTCTATGAGGTAGATTGTCTTCCACGCTAAGCTCGTGCATTCTGTTTATCTGGTTGATCCATCAACTTGCGTGCCATCAGGTCGAGTTTTTGCCAGGTCATCGAAGGCCCTAGATTGACATTCCTTTTTACCTGCGACTTCCTCGTCGACCTCAGGACAATTCGACCTATAGCTCCATCTTTTGGGATCTATGAGGATCATCGTAATTGTGCAAGTCACAAAATAATTTACGAATAAACATAGCAGCGGATCTAAAGTTTAACGTAGAAAAAGTACAGCTTAAAATTGCAGACTCTAAGACGTTGTAAATTTTCGTTGATGGGGATTGTCTGCTTTTCCACTTTCCAGAAATCACCTCGTCGGACGTCTTGGAGTCACCGGGTATCGCGCGGATCGGCTGGGGTCGCCTCGGCTCACACAGGATGTACGGGTGGCATCGTGCGGCTGCTGAGAACAACAGCTGGTCGTGCGCGGGTCGCTGGACAAGAGTGGGTCGCGAGGTTGTCGCGGGTCACAAGCGTGCTGCGGAGGGAGCAGTTCATTGGGAGCAGGGACGTACGGGAGCAGGTCGCGATGGGAGTGCTGGGTCGCGTCGCAGTGGCTAATGGTGGTTGGGTGCTAGGCCGGTGGTGGTCGGGTGCTCGACAACCTTGGAGACTTCAATTGAATATCCTAACACCTCTAGAACTCCCTTGGTGGGATAATACTCTGGATCTCTCTTAAGTCTAAAGTGTATGGATGTCTTCCAAACATAACAAATGAGGTGTATTGATAAGCTTCGATAGGACATTAAAGAGGTAATAAATTGGGCTCCTCGTATATGGGCCTAACTATGGATCAAGTCCACTCTGTTCATATATGAATAATATAGTCATTCCACTAAAGTAGTACTATTGAAATTCTCAATTTAATTCTAAAATTACGATTTGAGCTTCGATTCTAAATTATTCGAATTACCTCATCATGTTTAAGATATAATGACCATCAATCGATTCGATTACTAAGAATCAAATCAATTGATATCTTGAGCCGAAGCTAGCACCACTCAATACGTTATTGTTATCTCGGAACTTAATCCACATGCAGGGTTTAATATAATAATCTTTATGAGCTCACTTCAGGGTCATGATCAAACTTCAACCATCAGAAGTACATGGTGACCATAAATATTTTAAAAGTGTACCATGTCATGCAACTATCACTACCCAACTCAACCAGTTATTGGTTCAGACAGAATGAACCTCACCGTGATGAATCAAAGTAGTAAATACTACATATATGTGCTTGTTTATATGTTACGGGTTAAGAGTACGCAGTAATAGCCGAAGCCTAGTTCGTTGAATAGTATAAAATGAACTGCTCCTCTATGGGATCCGTGCAATACACAATTGTACTAGTGCAATTAATCAGTAAAGACCGATTGAACCGTTGTCACTACAACCGTTCCGATGGTTTGTTCAATTTCCATATAGGTTGTGAACCATTTACTTTATGTTTCGCAAGTCACTGGTAAATGATCTTATGTCCATCCGTGAAGAATCATTTATCTAAATGCAAAACAATAGAACACACAAAACTTGGTTTCACACAATTCTCATTCAACATAAGTAGTGTAAATAACATCTAAAGTCAAGCTTTCAATATCTACACTAACACCTTCAATCTTCGATCGACCTATTGGTTAACCCGGTTTGGTTAGTTGGTTTCTCGGGTCAATTTGACTCGGTATGGTATCTCATATAATTATCTTTCCCCAATCGTTGCAAATATAGTTTATTATTTTAAATATCAAATATAAAAGATATATTAAGCAATCAACATTCATCTATTTAGCAGTATGTATTGGCATTTAAATTTTACACATGTTATTCATTGTTCTATTATAGAGTAGTTTTTATCATTGTATTATAATTTTTTGTTGCTTTTTCAAAATTGACTTTTTCGATAAAAAAAAAAATATTGAAAAAATTTTTAGTTGTTAAACTTTACTTTAATGAAAATCACCTTTTAACTAAAGTATGTACTGCATAATTTTATAAATTCATAGTATGATAAAATAAGAAATTAATTAACATTATTATTTTCTCTAAAATCAATTTATTATTGTGTTTAAATATTTTAAAAATAAGCAATTAAATCTTAATATGAATACAACTAATAATGTTAACATTAAAATATGTTTTTTATATTTTAATATTTTCTATTACATCCATAAATTTATGTGAAATATACATTTTTTTTTCTTTTATGTTATATCATGTGTTTTCTCTATTATTTGTTTTTCTCATCTCTCATACTTGACCTTGTACTCTAGTTTTCCAAAAAAAGGCATTTGCGTAATTTTATATGCCATGTTTCTTGTTTCATATAAATTTTATATAATTATGCTATATCAACTTTGTTTATTATGATATGTAGTTACGTAATTAGTAATATGAAAATACAGTTTTGCTATGAAGCCAATAATGGCTCCACAGTAGAGCCAACTTTGTATATACAACAAGTGAACCATACCTTATTTTCTGATTACTTAAATAAATTTATATTATAATACTTTCTTGCTGGTTGTGCTTGGTTTGTGGTCACACGAATGGAGCTAATTCCATTTGGTTTATTTTTGAAAGAGTTTTGTTTTTGTGATTATACTGAAGTATTTAATTGTGATTATAATTCATTGAGTACTTAATTGTTGTTATAACTTTGCCTATATAAATAATAAAAACATAAAGGACTATTTACTCCGTGCAAATTTTTACAAAATTATTGAGCATCTCCAATGCTATGAGTTTGAAAGACCATTATTTTTAACACATGTCAATTAGTGATTCTAATGTTAATCCACATTGGAATAATGTTAAAAGACTAGAAATTTGAATGAAACTAGTATCTCCAATGCATAAGTTTGATAAGTAGTTATTTGTATAGATGGACCAATTAAATAATTCATTGATACAGGAAAAATAAAAAATTAAAACAAATATAAAGTAAATTGATGAGTCATCATGTTTAACATGATGTTAGATATTAGAAAGTATGCTCAACATTGTCAACATTAAATGATATATACCTCATCATTAAAGAGTTCATGACAAGATGCATTGAAGAAGAAAATAGTAACACACTTTCAAAAGTTGATAATATAGATGACTTTTTATAATATCAAAAGTCACATTGGAGATGCTTCGAAATCTTACAACTAGACATGGCCAAATTCGGCCCGGAGAATAATTGAAAGTTGGGTCATTAAAATTTGTTGATACAAGCCATTATTATACGTTATCCTTGTATGTGTTGAGTTAATTCCTCGAAAAATATGACCCCAAAAGTATGGAGTGAGAACTTAAACATATATGCTGTGCTGTGCATGTGAATGATATTGATACCCACAGTAAGTCAGTAACTAAACCAACAATCAGTTGTTATGGTTTTGTTTCAAGACAAACCTGAGCATCTTACTACTCCCCCTAAGTAAGATGGAAGAAGGTGGGAGTCGAAAGCAATAAAAGGAAGGATTTATTTGACATTTTCCCCAAATTATTCTTTAATCCTTCCTTCACAAAACAAGACTCCGGCTCAGCTAAGAGGTCTTCTTTTTTGGTACAATGAAAGAGGCTAAGGCCTTAATAACTCGGATTATACACGTTCCGTCTGGTTGAACGTTAAAGAAATGATACCCCAACGACCCATCCGCTGCCAAGGAAGCCAAATGATCAGCTCCAAAAATTCGCCTCACGAAAAACATGCTTCCGCTAAGAGGTCTTTGAATCTGTTGGTTTCCATTTCAGATGGAGGAATAATTTTCTAACCAGAGAAAAAAAAAATCGAAAGGAGAAACAGACAGAACACAACTCTTATCATATCATTACGGGCCAGAATATCTCAAAGCAGGGAACACCATTTATTCACTAATTACATTTTCAACATAAGAATCAATTGAAAAGGGAGCTTTTTTTTACGTGCTCTGGACATAAGGATAAACCATGAGAGAAGAACCACGAATGCCGAGATCCTTCAACTCCCGGGTATGACAATCGTAAAGCAGTAGAGAACCCTTTGAATCCTGAAATAGAGCTTTATCATTCTTGTAGAGGCCCAATACACTTTCAACACAAACATCATCATCATCGAAATTGTACGTGGAATAGAGAGACCACTCGGTGGTGTTCGATTTCCATACCCAAATCTCGAACCCAACACTATCACAGAAAATAGCTGCAAGCGACCCATGAAACTCGGCAATGCAAAAACAAGACATGTTAAAGAGTCTATCGCTCTTAGGAATCGTAGGGATGAGAGGTGGAAAGTTCTCATTAACAAAGTCAAACGAAACAACAGCGAGATCTTCCAGGGTATCATCCTCGCCCGACAGACATCTCCACTCGGAACCTACCCGGCTAGCTATCCAATAGGTAATTCCATTTATTTGAACATGTTTTTCATCAAAAGGTTCGATGACGGGAAAATGATGATCCGGAATTACCTTCCAAGAACCAGTTTTGAGCGAGAACAACACAGCGTGAGCTTCATCATCACCGGGCTCCATATGGCCAAATCGGATCACTTTATAGTCCTCAGATGAAGGATCAAACCCTAGGCCCCAGCGAGTCCAACCGTTATACAACGTTACTCCATCACGCAGGAGCGGCGGCCAACCAAATACAGGAAGGGGTCTCACCTCGTAGGTCGTAGGATTCCACAGGAGCATATGTGCAAATTTCCTAACCACTTTACACCTCAAAAACATCCATTTGTTGCAGCTCGCTAGGACATCATAATAAGTTTGAGCTCTGAGCATAGAGAAATTGGGGAGATTTTCGTGTACTACTTTGAACGAGCCGCCTTCGGTTGAGATTACAGAGTAATCGCGGGTTTTTGTTTTGCTGCTGCTCACATGCTCCACCGCGAGCATGAGACTGTTGCTGCTGATGTTGGGCTTCAGATAGGGCGGATGCCACCACGTTTCTACCAGGCAAGTACCGCGGCCGAAGGCCGTAACATCGCGGACAATCGAAGACGAGTAACTTGCGGAGAGGAATTTTTTATATTTGTATTTGGCGTTGGCCACAAGATTGGTGGTGAATTTGAGGATTCCCATGGCGGAAGAAGAAAGCCTAGCCGCCGCACACCCCTGTTTGAAAATCCAAGCTCTCTCTCTTGCTACGAACCAAGTCTTTCATAATACTCGGTTTAATAGACCCCAAATTAAAGGTGCAAGCTTAACAGCCCAACCCAATCCACTACATACAAAATAAATATGCCAATTTACATATATACTTAGTTGATTGTTAAATAATTACAAAAATATTATATAAAAAAATTTGTATCGATACCTAACCTAATATAAATATGTAGATTATTAATAACTATTAAATACTACCCATCACACACCCTTTTTTCATCTGTCTTTTCCCATTTCCTGAGCTAAAATTTCTATTGTTCACTTTTTTTGAAAAAATAAAATAAAAGTTGCAAATCCCCTCTGCGACACTAACCCTCGTTGTCGCCCCTCAAGTAGGCTGCGGGTGCCGGTGCCGCCACCGCACAAGACGATGACCGCAGCCCACGTCATACTCAATCAAGGAGCATTGGGCGGAGCGCAAGGTAATTAGAACCGTCATCAGGTCGAATAGGAAAAGAGGCCGAGCTTCTCCATTCGTCGTCAATCCGAGCCTGAACTTTCAGTCTCCGCCGTTCGCCAAGATGGAGACTCCAACCACGATCAAACGAGTTGCAACCCTATCGCTTGGTCTGTTGCTCCGGTTGCGCCTCCACACATACGTCGTCGATGCCCTGATCTGTCGGTGCTGCCATCACGAAAAACTCGATACAACAAAAATTATGAGTGTATATTTCTAGGGTTTGGGACCTGAATTTGTGGGTGAATTTGCGGGTTTATGATTTGAAGTTGAGGGTGTATATTTTATATGAATTTTGAATTTCAATGTTTGTTCGACGATTATTAATAGTTTATGTTTGATATATGATTACAATTTTTTGGTAATGTGACGATATTTGATAATCTAAACATGTTATAAATTACAAATAAACTAAATATAAAATTAAAAAAGACAAAGTCAGTAAGTTTACAATAAAAGTGTATATTTAAATGAAGATTTACAATAATGGCATGAAAGAGGAGATTGGCGGTTTAAGTCAATTGATTTGTCGCCCTTCACGAGTTTGGCGGTGGCGGAGTGGATGTTTCCGAAGAAGATGGCGGCGATATCGCCGATAAATTTCACTAGCCAAAGAATAATTTTCCGTATATGTTGCTTTTATTACTCAGTATATCAATTTACAAAAGGTACTCAACAACTAAAACATACACACGACAAAATTACTAAACAAAAACGAAACAACAAACATTAATATAAATATCCAAAACCAATATAAACAATAATCAATAAAAAAAAATTGCTCATTTGTCGTCTCATATCAATTTCCTCATCAACAAAAAAAATTTGCTAATATATCAAACATAAACTATAAATAAACGTCAAATAAACATTGAAAACAGATCCGGTAGAAACTATCCTCATGTCGCCAACTCGAAAGCTCCACCACCAATGGCAGTCTGCCCGAAAGACTTTTGCGTAGAGGAGCTCCTTGCGTGGGCCCTTCTCCTGAGGTCAGCAGCCACTAGCCTGCCATCATCCACCCGAACCATGCAGGCCCTTGTCCAGGTCGAGGCGTGCATTTTCCCTACGAGCTAACGACCTAAAATTCATGGCTAACCAATTTCACCGCCTCCACAGCAAACGGATGCAACACATTTTTGGTTTTACTCGCGCCACTGGCACACATGGACCGCCTGCTTCATCCAGGCAGCCTGGCGCAGGTACAAATAGTGGAGGGTTGCCAAAGATCTTGCCTGGATGGAATCGTCCGTGGCGGCGGCTAGGCGGGTGGTCAATTTTCGCCATTAATTGTGCTATTATTCAGGGAACAAGATAATGAAGATTTACAACAATGACGTGCAAGAGGAGAGAAAATTGAACGCGGAGAGAGAAATCCAATTAAATTAGAAATTAATAATTGCATGCAACTACCTTAATAAATATCTTAAAAAAGGTAGTTAAAATTTGAGAAAATATATGTACGCAAATATTTATGTAAGATTTTGTATGTTTGCAACTAAAAAATTATGCTAGTATATGTGCAATAATTTATGTTTAGTTAGTGAGCTTGCAAAGTTATTTCCTTTAATATACTAACATAAACTATTAAAAAACATCAATTAAACATCTAAATGTTCTATAACATAAATGATATAAAGAGGATAAAAAATATTTTTTTTATAATAATTATATTCCTAAAAAAAGATGGGAATAAAAAAAAAATAGGTCATAATATCCTGCAAAAGTTGGTCCATAAGAACGAATTTTACACATATGTCATTATTAAAAAAAAAAAAAACCTTCAAACGTGTCGACGCTGACCTGTTTGAAGATAATGTTGTCGCCTTCTTCCACGTCGTGAAGGAAGGTTTGTCATCTCCTCTAAAAACTAACGGTATGGGTGATCAGCGGTGCGATTCGGTAAAATACCGCACTGAACCGCAAAAAACTAAAAGAACCAAACTTACCAAGAAAATATCCAAACTGCACCGCAACTTAGAAAAAACCAAACCGAAACCGAACCGAACCGCACTGAAATTCATGGTTCGGCTTAGTTTTCGGTTTTATCTCGGTTTTTCTATACATTTTATTCATTTTGGTGCGATTAAGTGCAAAACAGCACCGAACCGAACAAAACGGATAACCTAACTTATAAAAAACTATAACCGAAAGGGGAGTGTTACCATAGGGGTAAACCCGCAATTTAAATGATTCATCATGGATGCCGAGACTTTTCAAGCTGCGGTCCTCACAATCGTAAAGCAGCAGGTCACCAATGGAGTCCTGAATGAGCACTTTATCATTCTTGTAGAGACCGATTATCGCATGTCGAGCATCACAGTCAGTAGGAACCTCAAACTCGTCCACACAGGACCAATCGTCATTCCCCCACACCCAAATCTCAAAACAAGGCTTCTTCTTCTTCTTCTTTGTATACGGCTTATTAAAATCGTAAACAATAGCCGCGAGCGACCCGTGAAACTCAGCAAGAACAACTCTCACATTGTACCCAAGCTTTTCGCTAACGGGCATAGGGATAAGATCAGACAGAAACTCCTCATTAGCAAAGTCGAACGGAATAATAGCGTAAAAGTTCTTGTTAAAAATATGACGAGTTAGCCAGTAATAGAAGCCATTTATGTGAAGAGCGAGTTTTTCAATGGGTTGGAACTCAGGATCATAAGGATACGGAATCTCCTTCCACGAACCGGTTCGGAGGGACAACACCTCAGAGCGGATTCCAAAGTCGAAATTTTGAGATCTGACTACCTTATAGTCCCCGGATGGACGAGGATCAAACCCCACGCCGAAACCCCAACATACAGGCCGGAGTTGAGGCCTTATAGTCCCCGGTGGAGATTTGACTACCTTATAGTCCCCGGTTGCAGAAAGAGGAAGGGGTTTCGTCTCGTCGGTCGTAGGATCCCACAGAAGCTCGTACGAAGGTCCAGGCCCTTTTTGACATGTCAACAACATCCATTTGTAGTTGGAACACGCTCGAACGATATAATCGGCGCACCTAAACCCGTAATTGAAATGTTCAGCTCTGAGTAACGATAAGTTGGGAAGCGTATCTGGTACTACCACTCGGAACGAGTTGTTTTCCGTTGAGATTACGCTGCAGTCGCAGGTTTCTTCGTTGAGTACTCGCACCATAAGCATAAGATTTTTGTTGTTGTTGTCGTCGTGCTGCTTCAAATTGGGGGAAAGCGCCGGCGCCGTAGTAGTGATAGGAAAACCATTGGAAATAGTGGAGCTGAGATTTGCGGGAGAAATTTGAATTTGGATTTGGCGTTAGCGAGTAGATTGGCGGTGGCGGAGAATCCTCTCATGGTTACGTCTGCGGAAGAAGAATGACGAATAACAAATTTTGTATTTCAACAGACTTGTATTTTAAGTTTAACACTCATTCTAAATTTCTAATACACCCAAAAAGTGCAAGCACAACGGCCCAACCCACCCTACTGTTGCATAACATTTAATGGATTGTCGTAGGCCCGACCATGATAAAAATATAACCATGTATCCGATGCTAAAAAAAATAATAATAATAATAAGAAATAAACAACCATTACTCAATACGTACATTGCGCGATTGCTGCCTTGCGGCGGTCAAGGCTGAGACTGGTGCTTTGTCTTTCCTCGGTTTCTATCCTATCTCTGGTGTTGTATTTGTTGGTTTCTCTGGGAACGACTGTCATCTCCGATCATCTGGGCTGCGGTCACCGGTTGTTTGGGGAATATTTTGGTTGCATAGTCTCCTGGTGTTGACTCGATGGTGACTATTTGGGAGGTTTTTTGGTCTGTTGGTAAGATTTTAGTTAACTGTTAGGGGAATTTCTAGATTGTGTTGGGCCTTCTTGGGTGATCGCCTTGAGTATTGTTTCGAGGAGGGATGATTTGGAGTGGTTTATTGTCTGATGGCGAGGTCCTTATTCTAGCTATTATCTTTGTTTTTTGTTTTAACATGTGTAGCTTTGTAACGTGTAGCTTTTGTGTTCTTATTCTCCTTTTGGAGAGTTTCTATTCTCCAACTGTGGAAAATTTTTTTAGGAGTTTTTTTAATTTATGTGTCTGTTTTGTATTGGATACTTTTATATAAAAGTATAATTTTACAATAAATTATACTTTTATATCTTTTCGTGACAATTATAGTTTTACTATAATCAATCAACATTCATCTATTTAGCAATTTATCTTGAGATTTAATTTTCTTACAAAATCATTCCTCCTGTGTATAAAAATAGATAGATACATTATTCAAAATAATTTATCACAATCATCACAATGCTTCGACACTTACAACTAGACCACCATCCAACTTTTTTTTTTTTTTTTTTTTCAAAAACCACCATCCAACTTTAAGAATAACGAGTTGTTGTTTTTTTTCGAAAAAAAAAGAAAAATAAAAAAAGACAAGTACAGATTGAAATAATTGAAATTTGAGTCAATAAAATTTGTTGATGCCCGCCGTTATTGACTTATTGTTGATTCGTTATCCTTGCAAGTGTCGAAGTCAATTACTTGTAAACTGTTGTGCAAGTACCCGTGAAAATATGACCCCAAAAAAATGGAGTGAGAACTGAGAACTCAAACATGTGTACATGTGACTGATGTAACTCAGTAACTAAACCAACAATCAATTGTTATGTTTTTGTTTCAAGACAAACCTGAGTATCTTACTACTCCCACAAAGTCGAAAGCATTAAAAGGGAGGATTTCTTTGGCGTTTTGTCCAAATTATCCATTAATCCTTCACATGCTGATTCACAGCATAGACAAAACGAGACTCTGGCTCAGCTAAAAAGTCTTGGAATAGGTTGGTTTCCATTTCAGATGGAGGAATAATTTTCTAACCAGAGATCACAAAATCGAAAGGGGGAACACAACACAACTCTTATCATATCATTACGGGCCAGAATATCTCAAAGGAAACACAATTTATTCACTAATCACACTTTCAACATAAGAATCAACTAAAAAGGGAGCTTTTTTTACGTGCTCTGGACATAAGGATAAACCCTGAGAGAAGAACCACGAATGCCGAGATCCTTCAACTCCCGGGCATGACAATCGTAAAGCAGTAGAGAACCCTTTGAATCCTGAAACAGAGCTTTATCATTCTTGTATAGCCCCAATACACTTTCAACACAAACATCATCACCATCGAAACTGTACGTGGAATAGAGAGAC